TTTCAGTAATGATGCCGTTCTGGATCTCACTACTTGGAAAAGAATTCCTGCAGGGATTTTCAACGGATTTCAAAATTCATATCCCTTATGGTAAGCGGCACTTTTACATTTTACTTTCGGTATTTTTTTGAATGTTGCTGTTATATTCGCGTTTTTGCAGCAAAAATTACACGTTCTCTCGTTGCCCTTGTTGTTCCACTTCTCATCGGTATAGCCATAAAGAAATGGAAACCGGAATGGGCAGCGAAGTCACGTAAGGTATGTCCTTTAGATGACTGATGTCAGTTTACTATGTATAATTTGGCAAAGAAAGTAATATGATAGTATTAGAATGTTCTCTGTTCACGTATAATGATGTCAGTGGCATTATTATCACTTAAAATTACGCCCTTCAATTTTCGGGCGAGGTTTTCGCCAGACTTTGCTTTTATTTGTACTTCTGCGCTCAGAACTACCCCAGGACAAACGCTGGTAAGTAGGACGGCTATATAGTGGGGGAGATGGACAAAACAATCGTAATTTGTGGCGTCGTCGCGCGGCGTTTCATATGGCGATGTGCGGCACTTTGTCAACTGGAACAGCCAATCTCCCATGATTTAAGTAGAGGCAAGGCTTCATAGCGGCCGGAATCAAGACATTCCGTCCCGGCAACACTCATATCAAACGGTCTCGTAGACAACTCGTCCATGAGGCGCGGCCCTTGTCACTCCTACCCAGTACGGCACATCACGATTGCCTTGTCATGTGGCTCTAAGACGCAGAAAACGCTAACGCTCAGACGCATGGGTGGGGGTAGACTCGACCACCAATTGGTCTCTGAAATGGTTCCAAATCTTCAGGGGGCTATCCATGAGGTTAGATTTCGGTGCCAGTTTGTTTGGGCGTCTGAAAAAATGGTACTACTCTTTTTGCATTTCGTGAGAAGTGGTTAGTCTACATCGGGGTCGAATCATAGCCAAATTTGCCGGCGACAAAAGCGTTCTCTCCATTATCCTTCGATAGTTCTTCATTTGAACCGTGTTTGTATCCACAAAAGAAAAGTGAGAATGGTGGGCGGGGGCTGGGGAGTGGAAGAGAAGTCGTTATTTACCAGTAATGACCCTTGGTTGTTCTTTGTGGACGCAACCGCTCTTGGAATTATGGTGTTGTCAGGCACGGCAACTAATTAAACATTTATGGGTAGGAAATTGTTTCCCCGATATGTCGTCTTCGCTGATGTAGGCATAATTTATATCTTGGGATCGATTAACTAAAACAGTCAGTTTCCGGAAATGATCATGTTAATTGTTTTTGCAAGAATGTAGAATTCTAGAACTGAAGAAAAGCTTATGAAATGTGCAAGAGGCATATTGAATGTTGGTAATGACTTATTGTATTATGTGCTCATCACTTTCTGGATGAACTATGCTTATGCTGTTCGGTGATTGTACCAACTTAGTGTTGAGGCGTCGTTTTTTCCACGCTCCGGCGCTGTGATGTCACAGTTTTAGTATATGTTTTTCTGATTTTTATTGCTGATAATCGGAGTAGGATCGATTATAGTTGACGAGTTGCAGAGCCAGCAATAGCTCTGCTTCTTGTTTACTATTACTGCTTGTTGCATAGCAATGCACGAGCTGAATTACTGCAGTTGTAAGAAGGAAGTGGTAGGAGGGCATAAAAAAAAGTTGAAGAATGACTTTCTATATATACACTGACAGGTATTTTGGCTGCAACAAGACTAGTGACTTTCGTAAGTTTGTGACAATGTGGGGAGTGAGTCTACTTGCCGTCACAGATTTTTCTGGGGGTCATTTCAAATGTGGTTTGTACAACTTCGGCTGGAGTTACTATTTGAAGCCCACCAACCGATCGGGCGCTTCTTTTTGCTACGCGTAGACTTCGAAGTTATTTTTTCTAACTAGTTTTTCGGTCTCCATCGTCATCGCAAAATCGCGCGGGTCGCTCGAATAGCAAGTGTAGGCGGCAGAACTATGAATTGCCTACAGTAGCAATTTCTGTTTAATAGTACTCTTTCATAGGACTTCTATGCAAATGGAAATAGAATAGGAAATGATTATTACAAGCAAGAGTAGTAAAATCACATTATCGACGATTTAATACGGCAAGCGTGAAACTGTATCTATGATGGATTCGTTTTGTTTAGTATTTGTTTAGAGTCGTCAAATGTGTGGTCTGTGAGTCTGTCAGCCCCCTACCCCCCGAATACATAGGACGCGTACAATTGATAATACTTGAATTTTGCTGCATCTGACGATTGATATAGTCTTTATAGGTATCTGAGACACAAGACAGAGGCAGTGGTTGATGTTTAGTGTCTAGCGGCGTAGCATTCCTAACTTTTTATATATTTCCGGGATACCAGCCCGTCAACTTGCTTTTCTTTTTCTTGCGAAAATAGTTTAGACTTAACCTGGCTGTGTGCAATGGGAATGAACATGTTATCACTATTTCCTCGCTGTTTTACCTTTTGCATACTAGCTTTTTACAATTTTTGATTTCTGTCCTAATTTAGTTTGCACGAAGACATCATGGAACTGGAGTAAGATTTTTTTTATATAGCAGCTATTAAAAAACTATATTTCTGTGTAGCGGGAGTAACGAGGTTACTTTCAGTACGCGAATTTTTGAAGCACTCACTCTGGAAACTTCGCGAAGTAGCTGCTCATATAAAGGTAAGCTTTGGTGCATAAGAAAATTGCAAATGGTTGTGTCTTATTTTGATTTAGACGATTCGACAATGTTGGCGTGATATCAGTGTAATGTTGGCGAAAGATGATTCCCCTCCCCGCTGGTCAACGCAGTTTTTCTGTATAAAGTGAAGGATTTTCTTATAAACATCTCGGGACATCCGAAACAACCCGTGTGCTTTTTTCAGTGGATTCCATGGTGGACAGCAAAGACGGCTTGAAGATGTTGGAGGCTTTCTGTGGCTCAATCGATGGAGTTCTCGCGGACGCTACACATTTCCGTTTCCATTGGTCTAAACAGGAGCAAGAGAGAATTTTGCCTTTTGTTGAGCACAAGGATTATGTCACACGTTGTTGTTTAATGACATTGATATTCTGATAAATATATTCGATTGAGGACTCTTCTCGCTATCTTGCTATTAATATTCTAATTCTTTATTATTCTATTGTTACAGTTGTAAAGAGTAAGGGAGAGAGAAGAGATAAAGAAGGAAGGAACAGAAAGAAAGGGGGGGAAAGGAGAGGCTTTGATGTTGACGGGGGTCTTGAGACGGTTGGAAAGAGTATGAAAGCACTGCCTGTAGATGTACCATTCTGCTCTACATTTTTTCGAGGATGCGGCAGACCGACGAGGAGGTCTTTATCCGCTGCCCCCCCCCCTCCCTTCTGATGCCCTGAAGAGGCCGTTTCAGAAAGAGAAGCGCACCAGTGAGGGTACTACATCGCACTTGGTACTCATGACTTGTAATCGTAATCGACTTCCCTGCCCTCGTTACCAGAACCATATCTTTCCGATGGCGGAACAATGCTTTCCGTCAGCATTCCGGTGGTTTCTTTCAGGAATCCTACGCCTGACCACCCCCTATATACATATAGCCGAAGGGCGTAACAGAGCAGAGGCGATGTTTGCCCTGGGGACTGTAGTACCCTCAGGACCAAACAACACCAGGGCACATCGTTGTTGGGGAATCCTCAATAGGAGGGGGTCGTGTTTGGTCGCCAGGAGGGGGGTCGTATTGTCTCGCGGCTTTTCCTGTTTCACATGTGCTATTTACCCGCTCGACGGCTCGATTCGATGAGGAAGGACAGAGGGCTGGGGGGGGTCGTACCAACTCCCAAAAAAAAGGGGGGGGTCGTGTAGAGACGACTAAAATCCCCAACCAATGATGTGCCCTAAACAACACATCTTGACAATGTCATACATTAATAGCGCTAGCCTTAGTAGATATTATTCACAGCCATATTACGATCGAAAATTGAAATTCGGACGCTGAGCTGGATGCTAGCTGTCCGACAAGGTTCATTTTAAACGGTTACACAGAAAATGTCGCAAGCATGCCGGAAACAAGTAAAAGAGCACCATAGTAGTAGCTCCTTTGTACTAAGGGA